GCAAACAACAACTTACTCGTCTCAACATCTCCTACACCGATACACTCATCACCTTGGCTGCTTCTGACTATTCTGCCTATGTACAACACAAAATGGAGAGGGGACAGAACGCAGCTTCGGTGGAGACCAGTGCCAACGTTTAACACCATTTATTATGATGCAGCACCGAGTGATTAGGTGGCCAGTACTAAATGCCACATGTTCTCAGACATGCCCATAAATTAATGCGCGAGATCCTGTCATACGATTTCTCCAAGGCCACAAACTACATATATGCCGAATGAGAGAACTCCCACGGTCTATCAACAATCTGGCCTAAGGTGAAGATCTAGTCAGCGATGCTTCGGCCGGACCTGAAGCAACGTTGGTTTGTTTTTACCTTAAAGTCAATTACTATGCGGCACTTCCGGTCGAACACCTTTGCACAGACGTTTTTTGGGAGCCTCGATAAGGTAATGCCTTGATAATTGGAGCAGTCCCGATTGATTTCGAACGGTTTTAACAGCATTCCATACATTCCACCTTCAACTTGATTTTACAACTGTCTGAAACCGTCAGGGAATCTCGTAGCTCTTGAATATTCCTTATCATTATGTCATCAACCTTCGTCCATCCAACTGGTAGATGAAGGCCTCTCCAAGACTTTGCCAAAAACTATTTTCTCTGGTATTTTAATCCGTATTCATTCAGTGAAGTTTTTCAGCTGAACCTGCCATCGATCATAAGTTTTTCACAGGTTACTTGTACCATCTTGGAACCCAATACAATGTTTTCCCGGTGCAGCGATGGTCACTTCTTTTTGCAACATGCCATGCCCATTGCCGCTTGAACTTCTTTACTTGGAGAATGACATTTCATACTGCTGTTTGTGCTTTCATCTATTCCTCCTTCTTCCTGTCTTTCATTCTTATTCACAACATCTATCTCCTTTGTAGTTTGCAGTTTATGAATAACTTTAGAGTTAGAGTCACGTGTCTCACCCACAGCTAAGCACTGAGAGTAGACACTGATGGAAAACTTTCAGTTTCAAAGAGAAGAGCAGCTTCCCGGATAAGAAGGCTTCTGATTCTCTCGTAATGCTTCATTCCATTTTGACTCTTCTACTGATTTCGCAGAGATAGTTGTCCATTACAGGGGATCAAGTACCTGTAGCACCTCTTCAAGCCTAAGTCTAAATTAATTTCAATACACCGCGGAATTAATATAGTTTTTGAAGATGATGTAAGTATTCTTCAGGTTCACTTTCAATCTGATTTTGATAACGGCATCGTTTAGCCTTTGAATTCAACTCCGGAGTCCGTCTGGTCACCCTGAAAAGATATGAAAACTCATCGCAAATGGTTCAAGTAATGTCCACTTCTAAAGGAGTGTCTTGAAAATTTTTATAGGGTTTCTGTGAATAACCGTCTCCGAGTCGGACACTCTTTCCTATTACAAATTTACTTACTCTTTCTGATGTAATTTTCAACATTTGCCAAGAATGATCCGCTGTTCTACGATGACTGCCAAAAATGGAAGCAGTTTTCAATACCCCTGGCAAAAACGAATTTTTCACTTCATCGCATTACCACAGTGTTTGCAGAGTTTTTCTGAAATTCAGTCATCATTCCAATGCCTTCTGTTGTGATGAAACCATAAGAAACAGCATATCGTCACCTCACTGAATTAGTTACAAAATTCTCGGTTTTGGAGGTAAACACTGAATATGTAAAGAAAATCTGTAGGCAGACATGAAGTGCTAACTATCATCCAATGGGAGTCACATGATTACGCCTGGAGGATCTTGGCACAGAACGTAGCTAACCGCGATGCATACAAATACTGTCAGCGGAACATTATTATTTTCCTGAGATATTAGAGATCGAAATTTCTCCTATATTACAGTTTAAAGGCCAAAATTTCTTTCCCTAAAACATCTACGTTTATTTCCATCTGCAACGATATCAGTCGCGTATTTTCTACCGCAATAGCGAGGTTTACATAATACCGCTTGCATTTTCCTCTCTCAAACTATCAACCAACAAAGCACATCGTACGGTATACGGCGTCAGAATACTCTATGATATTTTATCTACCGAAAATTCCTGCCCCATCAGCCAACCTAAGTAAACACGTGAATCAAAATACATTACTCATACCCTCCGCATGAGTTGAGAAACAAAAATAATCGAAAATTACAATTTTTCAGACTTTAAAAGCACAAGCAAACAGAATCTGCAAAAAACGTCATTTTTCAGTTCAACTTTTCAACTCCAGTGCGTCATGCAATTTACCGAAATTCAACCATGGTAGAAGTTGATAGCGCTGTAATACGATACAGGCAAACACTTGACAAACGCGCAGTACAACATACATAATTTAGCAGGTAGAAAATAAAATGACAATGACTGGAAATCTACAGAAATTTAAACCATGACCATCAGCAACTCAGAAAACTGAAGCCATTGCAGCGGGCTGCCGCTTCCGGAGCTTGCTGTAATCAGCTGTTGCACGTTGATTTTCAGGTAAAAGGAATAGTAATAACTAAAACACGATTCCGCACTATGAAATTCAATACGGTTACATTGCTCAGCTTCTGTTCTGTTCTGACGCATAATTGGCGCATATTTTCGAAAAAAGAATCAAATTTCGCTGCTTACGTTACGTGACTTTAAAATTTTATTTCTCATGCCAGTGAAGAAGGGAAACTAAGTGAAGGAACATCAGAACGAAGTGAAGAGAATATATATACATATACAATAGTATATATCAATAATCTATATAGCGTCAATCCTAAAGCAGAAAGACAGGACGGCCATGACAAGCACATTAAATGACAGCTACTTAGTTTTTGTCTTCCACTGCCGCTTTTCTTTTCGAGTCGCGAAGACAGAAGCGTCAAACGGTGCTACCAACCGTCAAAATCATATGCCAGAGTATGAGCCTCGGCATAAGGCAACTGGAGTCTGGAGCAAACTCCCTCCATATATTTGTTAATTTTAACCGTCCCATTTGCTTTCTAATGGTTGGCTGGGCAAAAATATTGTTGCTTCGCTTTTTTTCCTGGAAGTATTCACAATATC